TGTTATTTTTCTTTTTTGTTGGTATTATGCTAGACTTGGGCTTTTTAAAATTTCCCAAGCTTCTTGAGTTGTTTTCCCCTGGAGGATTCTCATCCATGGAATCCTTCCCAAGCTCTCTCTAAGTTTATTGAAATTAGCTCTCTTAAAGTCCAAGACTCTGGTTTGACTGTATTCTATTGCTTGTGCCTCCATAATGTTGAATTCCAATATTGCATGATCACTCCCCCCCCCCCAAGGTTCCTGTGGCTTCAACACCTTCTATCATTTCATCTCTATTAGTGAGAATTAGATCCAATATGTCTAATCCCCTAGTTCCCTTCTCTATATTTGTAGGGGTGCTCATCATATTTGACAACCTCAGTGATATGTGAGAGCCAGTTTGGTCTAGTGGATTTGGAACCAGGTTAGAAACCAGAAGAACATGAGTTCTAGTCTCCTCTTAGGTATAAAGCCAGCTGGGAGATCTTGGGGCATTCCTTCTCCCTCAACACTAGGAAGTAAAAAGCAATAGCAAAACACTTCTGAAATCTGGCCAAGAAAACTGCAGGGACCAATCCAAACAGTCACCAAGACTCAAGACTGACATGAAGGCACCCCTCACCCAAATCAGCAGATTTAATTTAGATCATGAGCTATCTTACAATATGGAAGTAGAACAAGAACAGAGAATTCAGAAGGACAAAGTCAAACATTACAATATTTTATAACTTAATTTAATAGTAACAAGATATCAATGTTATGATGTCTTCTTATATGTTTTATATAGGAGAAGAGCCATGGTAGTTTATCATACTCCCTGCCGCCACCACCACCACCACCCCCAAAAATCAGGATTCTTGGGAGTACTTTTTCCAATGAAAAATCTTTCAGGTCTTTTATTAAAAGGCCTAAGATTTCATATGCTGCAACAGTTGGAAAAGATACTCCCAGATACATGATTACATGTATTTTAATGACTTAATTTCCATGGGGGTTACATATTTGGGCTGCAAAAATCTGGAGAACCACTAATAGCAGCAATAATACCTAATACCTCTTTCCTGAAACCTTGTGATGGTCTGGATTTTGGCAGCTCAAATATGGTAAGCCTGTTCCTTCTGGTCACATTAAAAGTTACAATACTGGCAATTTTGGGAAGTGTTTTGAAGGCTACGTCCATGGCTTTTAGATGCCCGGTTTAGTTTCAGGTCCTCAGATTTTGATATTCAATGTCTACTGAATATGAAGAAGAGTTGCAGGAATTTGGTATGTCTAGTTTAATGAAAAGAAGGACTAGGGGTGACATGGTATCAGTGTCACAATATTTAAGAGGTGCCACAAAGAAGAAGAGATCCACCAATTCTTCAAAGCATCTGAAGGCAGAACAAGAAGCAACGAATGAAAACTAATCAAGGGGAGAACCAACCTAGAACTAAGGAGAAATTTGGACAACCATTTGTCTGTAATGATATAGGGTTTCCTGCCTGAGCAGGGGGTTAGACTAGAAGATCTCCAAGGTCCCTTCCAACTCTGTTATTCTGTTCAGTTAAAAAAAAAGTTGCCCTTTGGCAGGACAACTTGTAGATGCTCACTGATTTCGGAGAGGGCTCAGAGTCATCAAACCTTCTTCATTTCTTCTTTCTCTTCCTCACACATTCGGAGAGGGCTCAGAGTCATCAAACCTTCTTCATTTCTTCTTTCTCTTCCTCACACATTCTCCAAGCATCCCTCCTCTATTGCTGGATCTCTTCAGCCACCCTAAAGCTGTTTGTGGGCACATCCTTAGTGTGGTTTTTGTGGGCAGTTTCCTTCTTTGTGCAGTCGTGATCTGTTGACCTCTCCTCTCTCGAGTTTCCTGCTTCCAAAGTAATTCCACAAATTATAAAGCCCCACTCAGCAAAACCAAGGAGCAAATTAGAGTTTTGGCAGCACTGACTTGGAAGGCCACAGGGAAGTTGCAAGCATTCATCTGTTTTGTTGTTTACCAAGCAGAGGTATTTGATGGGAAAGTGAGAGACTGAACCTTTTTGCTGCTTACAATACCAACAGAGAAGAGTTCGGCTCATACTGCTTGCTCAGGAGATAGTAAGTAGAGGAGTTTTTGGAACTGGCAGCCGGATTAAAAATCCCCAGAATAGATGGCAAATTTGTCCAGGGCCCTGCCCTCCAGTGTTAAAAATTCAGCATTGAAATGTCACCATAGTCATTATCGCTTCACGAAATCCTGATTTGTATATAGGCTCTGATTCACTCATCAGCTGCTAGTTCCTGAGAAGTCTGGCTTTTCTTTTTTTAATGAAATCCTGTCTTTGAGGAGTTATGAATTATCTGACGCCAGAATTGTAAGAAAAGACTTCCATTGACAAAATCTTGACCTGGGTTCCTGACCTACTATTGTTTTCACTATCCCGTTTAGATGCTAGGACTCAACTACAGCTAGATGGGAAGTTGGCCAGAAGACCCAGTTGGCTTTGGATCTGACAGATTCTTGGAAGCAAGGCCACTTAATGAATGAATATCTTAGATCCTAACCATGAGGGGGTAGTTTGCATCCAAATTCTGTTGGCTGACTGTTGGGAAAAATGAGAAAACCTGGAGATCTGTTATGAAAAAAACATGGCTGGCTGGAATCAGCAATAGGAACATGTTTGAACTTTGTCCAGATCCTACTTGCTACTTCTAATGAGTATATAGATCCTGTATTCTCAGAGCAATCTCTCTCTAAATTCCCGGAAGGAGGTGGGGGGACAGTGGAGTGAAGTTATATTTGTGTCCTTTTTGTGGACACTCCAAAGGTTGATATCTGGCTCTTATCCTGGACTAGATTGTTTGTTTTTCCCCTTTCATCCAGTCAGTGGCCAAATTTCCTTCACTTTGATTTATAACGAGACTTGGCAGATTAATTTTTAAAAGTAGTAACAAAAAAAGCAGTTGGAAATAGTTCTGTTTTTTTAATCTTAATTTTGGACTTCATCATACTCCACAAGACCTCTCTAGGATAGCGATCATATTGTCCCAACATCTGTCCTCCACAAAGTACATCCAGCAAAATCCTGGGCATAAGGAACATCCTAAAATTCACTAGGAATGCATTTTTCCCCAGGTGTTGCTGCCTTTTTATGGGCAAATCCACACAATCTCCTTGCCTTGGTTGCAAAATGGTCTACTAACCATTTCTGGAAATACGTCCACGAGCCATTGCCTATATTAGTGTTTACCAACCTCAGCAACTTTAAGATGTATGGACTTAAACTCCCAGAATTCCAGACCCATGGTTGGCTGGGGAGTTCTGGGAATTGAAGTGTGGCAGCAGTTCAGTACAGACCTTTTTCTGGGTGCATGGGAAGGGTGTACTGTGGGGGCAATCTAATTTCCTGCCTGCTTCAAAAAGTGAGGTGGGGGAAGAGATCAAAGCCAACATGTGGATGTGCTTATGCTTATGGGAAACTGTGATTTCTAATTCTGCCTTAGGCATGAAGGCCAACTGGATGACTTTGGGTCAGTCACTCTCAGCCAAAGGTGGCTGTTGTGAAGAAAATGGGAGGAGGAAGTAATGTAGTGTGTGTTTACTGCCTTGAGTTATTTATAAAAGTAATCAAGGTAGGATAGAGAGAGAGGGAAAGAAAGGAAGGAAGGAAGGAAGGAAGGAAGGAAGGAAGGAAGGAAGGAAGGAAGGAAGGAAGGAAGGAAGGAAGGAAGGAAGGTCACTATGAGGGGTCCTTGGTGCCCTCTGAGTTCAGTTATTTTCTTGCAGACGTTTCATTACTCAAGCTAGGTAACATCAATGTTTAGCAGTGATTAGCATACTGTTAAGCTGTAGATGAAGGTACCCAGTTTGGGTAATGAAATGTCTGTGAGCAAACAACCATGCCCTCATGCCCTTGTCACCTCACGCCTGGACTACTGCAACGCGCTCTACATGGGGCTACCCTTGAAAAGTATTCGGAGACTACAGTTGGTCCAGAATGCAGCCGTGCGAGTGATAGTGGGTGCTCCTCAATACACCCACGTTACACCTATCCTCCGTGAGCTGCACTGGTTGCCTATTGGTCTCCGGGTCCAATTCAAGGTGTTGGTTATTACCTTTAAAGCTCTATATGGCTCAGGGCCAGGCTATTTGCGAGACCGCCTACTACCTCATAGTTCCCTTCGTCCGGTTAGATCCCACAGGCTGGGCCTCCTTCAGGTCCCGTCGGCCAAGCAGTGCCATTTGGCGGGGCCGCGGGGGAGGGCTTTCTCTGTGATGGCGCCCACGTCTTGGAACCAGCTCCCCCCGGAGATTAGGACTGCTCCCACCCTGTTGGTTTTCCGCAAGCTGCTTAAGACCTGGCTTTTCCGGCAGGCCTGGGGTTTATAAAATCTGACCCCTGGATGAATGTTCTTGTATTGTTTGTTATGTTAAGTTATGTTGTGTTTTTATTGTTAGCCGCCCGGAGTCCTGCGGAAGTGGGGCGGTCTATAAATTTTAATAAATAAATAAACCAGGCTCAGAGGGCACCATGGACTCCTCTTTTCAACCCTGGGGTACAAATAGCCCCTTTATAAAAGTTGGATGGAGGGAAAGGAGTTCATTATAAAAATCTAAGCAGGGAGAATCGTTCAGGGAAAAGGGTGCTCATTTCTTATTGAAGGTGGCTGCTATGATATGGGTGAAGCCCTTTTCATTAGATCAGTGGTTCTCAACCTGTGGGTCGGGACCCCATTTGGGGTCAAACGACCATTTCACAGGGGTCGCCAAACAATGCAGTCCGCCATTTTTTTCCCTTTTCCCTAGCTGTCCTACACCCTCTTATTGGTGGCCACACCCACTTGGGGGTCACCACAACACGGGGAACTGTTTTATGGGGTCACGGCATTAGAAAGGTTGAGAACCACTGCACTAGATGTTGAAGTTCGTGTCAAAATGAACATTTCACTCAGATGTCACTGTGAATAGATACTTAGGTAAGTGGGTGGGTGAGGAAACCTGGAGATCTAGGTCCCTTCCCACCTTAGTAATTTGTTTTCAATCTTTTTTCCAGTCCTGGTATCTAGGCTAGTTGCAGCTTCCATCTGCATCATCATCATCATCATCATCTTCTTCTTCCTTTCCTCCCCCGGGCTTTGGGCTTCCTTTGAGGAGAACAGTGCAGCCCTCCCACGCTTGGCCCAAACCTTGGGGGCAGCATGGAGAGAGAGAGAGAGAGAAAGAAAGGAAAAAAAGAAAGAAAGAGCACGAATTAACATCAACATCATGAAGAGACATCACAGAAGGACACAAGGAAGGGAAGGGGAAAAGCTCAAACTTCTTTTTAAAAGATTAAAAAAAAACAAAAAAACAGAAAAAGACCCTGCTTTCCAGCCATCCCGACTGCGACTTTCCTGAAATGAGCAAAATTCAAGCAGGCAGCTCTCCCAGGGGAGGCCTTTTGGCCAGAAGCACTACGCGCCTTTTGGAGGGCCTGGTTTTCCCCATCCTTCCTGCCAGTCCCTGGCCAGCTGGAATTCCTGTCTGTCTCATGCTCAAAAGGGATGTATATGCAAAAGTTTCTGATTATCTTCTCCATCTCTTGTGAGTAAAAAATAATAATAATAATCTGGCCTGCTGCAGAACCCTCCCTTCTTCTTTTTTTTCTACGCTCAACACCCTCCCTGCTTCTCCTCCTTTGGGAATGGGGTCAGCGTGACCAAGAGACTGCACTACAAGCCATCTAGACTGGTCAAGCAGCTGAAGACGGGCCAAGGTCAAGATGCAACGTGAGCTAATTTCCCCCTTCAAGAGAAAGAGAGAGAGAGAGAGGGAGGAAAAAGTTCAAATGCTGAGCACCTTTTTTCAGTGTATCGAATTTGTCCTCCTCTCCCCCCCACCCCGGAAATCTCTGTGTTGCTTTCAGATGGGGGCTTGCTGGTCTCCAGCACTTACTGACGGTGGTGTGAGCAGGACTTCTCTGGTGGAGAAGAAGGGGACACGTGGCTTGTTTTCTGCACTCCTCTCCCAGAATGCTTTGCGCTTTAATGTCAAAAGACATCCCCCCCTTTTTTTTTGAATGGGTTTGAGTGCCAATGGTGTGGGGCGGGGAAAGGGAAGGAGGCGGGTTGGTTTGACGGAGTCTGTTATTGTGGGAGAAGGGAACAGATGCAAGCCACTTAAATTTAACTTTGTTGTCGACTTAGTGCAATCCTGAACCAGATGGTTTGGAATGGTGGCGGGTTTTGATTTTTGTCTGGGGGCGGGGAGACATTGGAACTCGGCTGTGAATGTTGAAACCACGCATGTGTCGTTGGGTTGGGCTGGAATGAACTCTGGGGGGAAGGGGGGGCATTTCTTCAAGGGTGGGGTGAGGAAAGAATTTGCTACTACACTGTGTTTCAACAGCAACCCCCAACTCCCCTTGCTGCAACTCTGCCATGACCATAGGTCTGTCTAACCCTTGCCTTAAAGTTGGACCAAGGCTGAGAGATGGGCTCTTTCTCCTCAGCCTGTATGGACTTTTGTCAGCCTGTTCTCTTATGGGAAGGAATTGCTCTTGGAGGTGGAGTGGGGACATGCAGGTTCTCTTCAAGGTGGCTTCCGCCCAGCTTTAACATCCTTTCTTCAAAAAGCGGGCAGCCAGTCCGATGAACACCAGCAGGGACATGTGCGACTTGTTGAATCTCTGATTTGGGGGGGGGGGGACAGGAAGACATTGAGTGGGAGGGAGGGTGTCAGTGGATCAGCAGGGCTTCGCTTTCTCTCTCCCTCCTGAGCTTCCAACTTTGTGTACAAAGAGCTATGCATGCCCTTGTAGACCAGCTTCGAGATGATTTTGATGACTGCTAATATGGATTGCACATTTTTTTTGGTAAGAAATGCACTTTTGAAGAGGAGGGAGAGGAGAAAAGCAACAGGAGAGTGGAGGGATAAGGAAGGTAAATCTAGAGTGTATCTGTAATTTGTGTGGAGAGGATCAGCGTCCAATCCACTGTGACGGGATGGTGCAAAGTGGGGCCTTACGCAGACACCTTTCAGAACGTGAGGAAATAAAAAACACAGATTCGGTAGGAGCAGAGAAGGGGAGATGCCCCTTTCCACCATTGCCCCTTCATAGAGAACTCTATCTCTTCTTGCCCCTACCCCACCAGAATGCAAGCCCCAAGGTGGAGCCTAGAAGCCATCTAGGACTGGTTCAAGTGCCTACATTTTAATGCTCCAGTCCTTTTGCTGAGTTATAGAAAGCGGCATTTGTAATGGAGACTCTCCCCCCCTCCCCCGGGGCAGGGGCAGGCTGAGCAACGGCACTCCATCCAATTCACTTTGAAACGAAACCCACCCATCCCCATCCTTCCTTCCTAGCAGACACCAAAGCTTTACAGGCCACGGATCAGACTTCCTTGAATTCAGCCAAGATTGGGGTGCCAGAGAGTGGCTCCAAGTCCTTTGTGAGAGCCAGGTGGACAGCTGATGAACTGGTCAATCCATGTTGGCTTCCGGACAATCTTCCTCCGAAGGCTGGTGCCATCCGCCATGATTCTAAAAGCATTTGTAATGTTTCCTCCTCCGTGTGCCAAACTGTCAAGATTTCAGAGGAATCTCATTGAGGCAAAGGAATCTATCCCAGATGACATCCTGGAGTGAATTTGAATTGGAAAGCAGAATGAGATCAATGAGTTGCAAGGGACAGTTCATCGGAAAACCCAAGAAAACATCAGTATCTTCACATGAGATGCTTCAGCCACAGACAAATGGATTTGTAGAGCTAACCTAGCCATACCTTGGCCTAAGTCACAGGGGTGAAAAACTATGGCCCATTTATGACTTGTGGACTTCAACTCCCAGAATTCCTGAGCCAGCCATGCTGGTTCAGGAATTCTGGGAGTTGAAGTCCACAAGTCATAAAGAGGCTATAGTTCCCCACCTCTGGCCTAAGTCAGTGGCCAACGTTTACTCCTTAGAAAATGGTGAGAACTTAGTATATATCACTAATGGAGTGACTATCCAGCAGACTTCAATTAGTTAAATGATGGTTCTTTTTTTCCAGGGAATTTGCAGGAATTGTAGTCCTCTGAGGGATTTTTAATGGAATTCTTCTCCCCTCGTACTACATGTCCCAGGATTCTTTGAGAGAGTATTCACATCTTTGTTTTTAGTTACCTTTGTACTGTGTCTATGAGAAAAGAAGAAAACATTTCAATCTTCTCCAGGATGGAAAGATGACAAAAATTTGGACAACCAACACTAATCTTCAGTTCTTTGCACCTTGATACATTTCTCTGAACTTCCAAGAGAAATGCATATCCTATTCCATGTATGTGAACAAATATTCCCAATATACAAGTATAAATTTCTTTCCTAACTTTCAGAGTGAACCTGTTGCCGTGTACAAAGGACATCTAGGATCGGATGACTTTTATTTTTATTTTTTTTATTTTTTTCTGGTATGGGAGAAGTAGTTTTTTCTTCTTCTTCTGTGTCCCAACAGGCTCAAGATGTTCCAGATTTTTCCAATGATGTCCAGAGGAACACATGTAATTGATTTAAAAAAAAAAAAACAGAAGAAACTATAGCACCCCCTTCCTCTTTTACTGTAGCATTTGCCCTGGGTTTTGGCAGAAACCAACGACTCCTACGGCTTTATAGGCCTCTCTCAGGTGAATTTCTGTTCCAGAAACTTCCGTCTTCAGTACAGCATTGTAGTCGAAAAGCTCCAGCCTCTGTGCTCTCCTGTCTCCTTCGTGCGTCGTAACCTTTATGCAGTTTGGCTCCAGTGCCGACTTGGTACCCATCTGGGCCTTGCGTTCGCATCTGTAAAATTTCCTTCTGACCTGCTCCCTTGGACTAAGGATAGCGAAAGACTTTTCGAGGTACCCCTCCCCCTTGAACCTGGCATCACTAGTTTCCAGCGGCATTTGTTTACATCTCTGCACCTTTATAATAAACGATGATGCCATGTTTCAACCCATAAGCGGGAACTGGGCAGAAGAAATGAATACCCATTGCAGGCCCTCTATCTGAGGAAGCCCTCGTCAGATGTCTCCGAGCTAGGACTGTATCACGGAGACAGTGAGGGGCTTCGTAAGGGAAGCTGATCAGGTTTTTTTTTTTTAAAGTGAAACTAAAAGAAGAAAAAAATCTGCAATTGATGAAGAGGCAATGTTCTAAGGAAAAAAAAGAAAGATTTAACCCTTACAATATAGAATGCATGGTGCTTTTAAACAGGAATTCATGTGACCTAGCTCAACCAATCAGCTGGCTGAGAATGTGCATGGCAATTATACATAAAGGCTCTTTCCCTCCACCCCCGACCCCCTCTCTTCCCCTTCTTTTTCCCTTTAGTCCACATCTATGATGAGGGACAAAAGTAAGAGAAAAGAAAAGAAAAAAATATTACATTTTTTCCTAATTTGCACGAGACAAAGAAAATACGTTTTATACCACATAATGTGCCTTGCCTTCTTAAAAAAAAAAAAACGTATTAACTCTAGTGAGATCAATGCACAGGTGTTGCTGCATGCTATTTGATGCGTGTATGGGGGAAAAATAGGGGGAAAGAAAGAAAAAAAAGGGTTGGGGAGGCATAGGGGTGGGGGATATAATGCCACTTTTTTACAAAAAACAAAAAACCAGAGCATGGGAGGGATAGGAGACTGAAGTGGGATTTTTCAGTTAATTTTAATTACAAATTCAGATTCCTACACAAAATGCCCCCCCCCCTTCATGCTCCTTCAGGTGTGTTGTGAAGGCAGCTCCCTAAATGCTTAGAACAGGGGTAGTCAATCTTGACTCTTTTATGACTCCTGGACTTCAACTCCCAGAATTCCTGAGCCAGCACAGCTGGCTCAGGAATTCTGGGAGTTGAAGTCCACGAGTCATAAAAGAGCCAAGGTTGACTACCTCTGGCTTAGAACCTTCATTGGGTGAAGAAGTCTGGGAATTGCAGTCTCAGGAAATCTGGAAGGTTGGAAGAAGCTGATGTACAGTAGGACGGTTGAAATAGCACTTGGACACTGAGGGTCTCAGTGAGATCGGTCCTACGACACCGTCTCTCTCTTCCAGAGCTCCTTCTTTAGAGTCTTAGGATCTGGAAATCTTAGGATCAGCTCAAGATCGCTGAAAGAAATATGTAAAAGATATGGGGAATATTTATTTTATTTTCACCCTGGCGAAAACAGATTGAGTAGGTTGGTTTGTTTTCCTCAGGGATCTGCCAAAACCCATCAGAGTGGAAGAAATGTGTCAGAAGCGGAGGCTTTCTCAAACTGTGTGGTTTGGTTTGTGGTCTTTTGCTTGTCAGTTGCAAATCCATGTTAAGGTCACAAAGCTCACTGGGTCCTCCAGCCATAAATAACCTGTATGGTGCTGGACATACCATTATGTTTCTACCCAACTCGAAACAACCTGTTTGTTTTAAAGACATATATTTTGGATATCATTATATTCACACTGTCATAGTATGATACAGGTAGTCCTCGACTTACAACAGCTAGTTTAATGGCCTTTCAAAGTAACATCGGCACTGAAAAAAGTGACTTACAACTGTTTTTCATACTTTCCCATAGTCACGTGAACATATTTGGACGCTTGACAACTAGTGTATGACGGCTACAGTTTCCTGGGGTCACATGATCATCTTTTGCGACTTTCTGACAAACGAAGTCAATGGGGAAGCTAGATTCATTTAACAACCTTGTTACTGGCTTAACAACTGCAGTGATTCACTTAACATCTGTGGCAAGAAAGGTGTTAAAATGGGGCAAAACTCACTTAAACAAATGTCTCGCTTAACAACAGAAATTTTGGGCTCAGTTGTGGTTGTTACGTCGAGGACTACCTGTATTCCTATTCTCCCAGGAGTCTTAGAAAGGCAGAGCCTTCAAAACAGGAATTCAAGACTGCCTTGTTATATGAAACTTATCTTATTTAGAATTCTCCTTATAATGTAGCAAACCAGATGTCTGGAGGACTCCCACAGGCAAGACCTATTTTGCGGCCCTGTATCACACATCTGAGTCTGGAAGACCTATAAACATCCCAATCATTATTATTATTAATTTTTCTTTCGCTTAGAAACAACAGTTTTAAGCCAGGGCACAAAACCATTTCTTATCTTAAAAGCGTCACCTGGTCTTTGAACAATAAATAATGCTAGAGGCAGAATTCCTTAAAAAGTGAGTGGTGTCAGAATAAATTAGACTCAATTCAGATGTAATTAAATGAGGTATAATCTGAATATTCCCTTTGGATTTTAACAGTTTTCCTTCCTGTGTGTTTTAATTTTTTTTTCCTGTTCATATCAAAATTATAAGTCGACCACAAATTTTGAGACAGCTTTCAAAGCATGGCAATGTTGAATGCAGCAGGGAGGCAATGTGCATCTCCTCCCTGTTTTAGGCCTCCTGCAGAATAGATATTCTTCAAGAAATTAAGAATAGAATTTTGACCCAGCATCAGCCAAGTATTTTCCAATTTGAGGTAGGAAGCAAATTTGGTTTCTTCCACATAATAAGCCATCATTTCCTTTCTTTCTTAGCAGGGCAATGAGGGGATAATCTGAACTAGGAAACCTCCCATTATAGGTTTTGTCACATGTCTTCCAGTTGTAAATGTAAATTAAGTTTCAAATATGCAATGCCCTTCAGTGTATAGTGGCTAAATCTGTGGTTACTAACACAGTTACCTCAGCAGTTTAATGTCCGTGAGAGATGGATGTCTCGGTTTAGGTAGCTTCTAACTCTGGGGAGAAGAGAATTGGCTGGGGATTTCTAGTATATTTTCTTTTGCTTTGTAACTTCCCTAAGTTTCCACTGATTGCATGTGGAGGTTGTAATTGGTGAGCTCCATCTTGGCTTATTGAAAGTTATTGGAAAGGAATTGAATTCAATCCTTCACTTTTCTCTCTTGGGAACTGATTTGTGATCTTTAGAATGAATTGGAAGAGTGGTGAGGTACAATGGATGTAGAGGTGGCTCAAGCATGTGTAATAGTGTTAGTAGCTCACATGTATGACATGGATATTCCAGACTTGTGGGTAGGGGTAGGTTAAAGGTGGATGGCTTCAAATTTATAACTGAATCGGTTCAGCTTCTTTCACAGAAGAACAGTTCAAGATTCCTACTGATTGAAAAAGTAAAAAGAAGGCCCAATCGGCTCAACCATAACCCTATTCTATCAGTTCCCGTGGAAGTGGGTCATCATTTGTGATTGTGACGTCTCATGCCCACAGTGTACTGGCCAAACAGAATTCGATCCCTTTTGAGTGGATTCCCTAAAAGAGAGATGTATGGAGAAAAAATGAGAATGGTAGATTGCTTTAAAGACAGGACACTTTGCTTTTACAATAAAAGTAGGTTCAGTTGCATCTGTAGTGAAAATTTATGTTTCTGGTTAGTGTCTCGAAAATTTGAGAAATTAATTTATGTTCCAACCATAGAGGTCCTTCAGATTGCTTCTTTTGTGTGTCTGTGTGTCTGTGTATTTGTGTGTGTGAGTGTGCTTTGAGCACGGCAGAATGCGCACGCTCACCACATTGACATCCATTGTTCAAAATTGTATATTACGGCAGTGAAAATCTCTCACATTGTATGGGGACGTTTCCCTTGGCTTAAAAAGTTCTCCAAACTTTTTAAGACAGAAAGAAGTAGGTTGAATTGTATTGATCCCTATAATTTTGCTTAGATTTGTTTGAACTAATAGATGGTGTGAGACTGGGGTGAACAATTTTATAAAAAGGAAACAAATGATACAAAAAATAGATATCTTAACAGCCTTCACAATTCCCCCACCTACCCGTCTTCTCTCTGTTTCAGAGAGAGTTTCAGTTTACTTAAGTTTCCTTCCATGTTGATTTTTTTTAATGCCTTGCTCAAGTTTAGGATTTGCTACTCTGCTCCATGACACTGAATTTGCTTGCAAATTCTTACACGCATTCATCCTGATGATTCTATTTAGTTATTCTTCAATTACTGTATTTTTTTCTTTTCTGTGTTTCTGCTTGATGTTAGGGGTACGCAAGGGGGAAAAAATACTAATTTAGTTACTTCATTAGTTCCATCATTTAAAACTATTCACAAATTTGCTCTTTCTTTAATTTTCATAACTGGTATTGTGGTTTTTATTATTCTCATGTGTTTTACTTTCCAGCCATTTTCTACGGGAGACTTAGCTTATTCTTCTGCCTCTAATTTTAAGTTTTTCCATCTAAATAGCATTCTATTTCCAGGCATTTTATTATTACTTTTTGTTTTTCAGATCTGCAGTTTTAAAATAGATAATGACAAAGGGTCTCGCACTTATAAATATTTTTATTAGCTTGTTGTTTATCATCTGTTTATAATTTCTGTGTTTTCTATAAGAATGAATCCTGGTTTTAAGTTTTCAAAATGTTAGAATCTGCATAATTACACATAGTTTGGGGACAGAATTTCAATTATTTGGGATTTCATTGGCTAGAAAAACCCAAGCAGACGATACGCTTCCTATCCTTCTGTCCATGACTTGTGCAGATGGTTCAAGAGAATTCCAGGCAAAAATCTTAGTAGTGAATGAATTGGCTTATTTCATATTTCAATTTTTTTTAAAAAAAACAAAAACAGATTCAGGTGGTCCTCGAATTACAACTGTAATTGAGTCTGCCAATTATGGTAAGTCATGATAGTCACCGTCATAAATTGCAATCACATGACCCCACAGGGCATTGCAAACAGTTGTAAATATAGGCAGGTTGCAAAGTGCCCAAAATGCGGTCATGTGATTGTGGGCCCATTGGAACTTCAAAACTAGTTTGTAAGTCTTTTCGGGATCCCAAGTAGAGGACCTGTTTACATCCATAGCCAGCCCTCCCTTTCTTACCACCTTTAACAAAGATTTAACAACAGAAGTGCTGTAGGTAACTGCATGCTCCAGAGAATTTTTGAGTTCCCATCAACCCTTGCTAGCAGCTCATAGTAAAGAATTGTGGAGCCTGTAGTCCAAAATAAAGAAAAGGTACCAGCTTGCTTACTTCCATATTACAGGAAATGTCCCCATCTTAATGTACTCCGTAAAACAAAAATCTTGCAACTATCTGAATCACTGCATGTGGAAAGATTAGCATTGTTTTGTGGGACCACCTTTGTGTCAAAAACATTACAGCAGGGGTCTTCAAACGTGGCAACTTTAAGACTTGTGGACTTCAACTCCTAGAATTCCTCAGCCAGCCAGGGCTGGCTGAGGAATTCTGGGAGTTGAAGTCCACAAGTCTTAAAGTTGCCAAGTTTGAAGACCCATGCATTACAGTATGCATTTTGTTTTAAAACTTGGGGGGAAAAAAAGTTTTGAAAACTTTGAAAACAGTATTTAAATTCTGCTGGAGGACTGTAATGGTCTATCCTTCATGTGAGTCACCAAAGCTGGATGAAAGAGAAGGCAAGAAACGCCCCCCTTTTGTCAAACAACAAAGGGTTTTCTGTACAGTAGAGGGTCTTTCTGCATGG